TCTGCGTTTTACACTGACTGACATTTATTGATTGCATTTGTTAGAAACCAAGGGCGCGACTCTTTAGCTCATTCTTGAGTCATATAGTTCAAGACAATTAAATTAATTAGGTTAAAATTAGGGAAGACACTAACTATAGGAGATAATTGGGAAGATCGAGAAGACGTGGTAATTTTTATATACAACTAAACTCAAGGAAAATGACTTTTTGTTCCAAATAATCTTTAGCGGGAATTTCGAGACGGGGTTCTTCTTAATATTGTTTTCTTTTCATTGATATGTTTCATTATAATCCATATTTTTGCTCGCGCGGGATTGATTTAAACGCGTCACGTGACTTAATATGCCCCAGCTCAAACTGGCAAATATCCGAGTGATGTTCCCCAATTGCCGAGTTTCGTATACCAGGTTACTCTGGGTCGAGCATAGAACATGGTACGGAAGCAAGGCTTAAGCTGGGTAATATCCTTTCGCGGCATACGAATTAATGTACTTACTAACATTTTTACGTTGTTTGTAACTACGTACGGTTTTTTAAAACAATCTCAGTTAAAGAAATGGAACCTAAATTCGTCAGAATGAAAGTTCCTGATTTGTAAAAGTACTTACAACTGCGGGGAATCAGTGTTGCGAATAAGCGTCGCAAAGAACTTTTGGATTTGTATGTAAAAGTCCACGAACTTGATATCGAAATCATAGACGAGCAAGGAGACCAGATAGGTATTTCTGTGAAGTTGGTAAACGACGATGGAACTGTTCCTGATCCCTACTCGCTCAAGTCGGACTGGACGACTAATTTTTCGTCATTTTGTAATTATGTACGCTTATCTAATTGTAAAAGAACGAGACTACCATGAAAGTTTTATTTGAAGGCTTACCAGTTTCATTCTTGAAAAGACCATGGATATTACAATACCATCTACGTTTTGTTCTACATACAAATGGGATTACCTTATGGCATATGGCACAAATGAAGAATTTTTCATGCAGGAGGTTGTATTTGAAGAACAATTTTGAAAGCCAATACTTCAAAAAGTTACCAGTTTCTTTGATGGGCTGAAATTGTATTTCCCAAAGTTAAATATAGTTTACTCCCAGCAAACCTGTAGTAGGTTAGATACTTTTCTATGAGTAGGACTTTAAAAAGGCCTGTAAATAACTGTTTGGGTCAAGCTAGATTATTAATTAAAATAATAATATTTAGCTATAAGAAATTGCGAAAAAAAACTTTTCTTAAAAACATTTAAGAAACTTTTAAAAACGGTTAAAAACGGTAAAGGTAACTTAAAAATATGTTGCAAGCTAAACAAAGAGTTTAGCACTGATGGAGTCACTCTGAGTGCAGCAGCAGCATATTTTCATGTTACTTCTTTTTAATGAACTATTGTTTTTCTTGTATTTGTAGAATAGTCATACTGTTTTTTTTTTTTCACTTGATAATGACGTCCGAGAACGTCAAAACGTCGTGTATTTTTAACCGTTTTTAAAATTTTCTGAACTGTTTCTAAGAAAAAATTTTTCGCAATTTTTCATAGCTAAATGTTTTAAAAAGTCGCTTCTTTTTAAAATAATGATAATGATGATAATAATAGTCTTAATTGCTTTTTGCAGTTTTTGTTCGCAGAATTTTTCTCCAGTTAACATCTTTGGACATAAATAGCTATTCACTTTATTGTGCAAGAGCAACATTATGGATATTTTAAGCGGCTAATTGAACTATCAAGTTCTTGTCCTCAAATTGTCCCATTACTTCACGAAGGGTTTCATTAGGTTACAAAGGGCGGCACGGACTGTCGCTGTTTGATCAGCAACCGAGGCCAGAGAGATTGGCAAGATCATTCAACTTTTGAATAGCCATCTCAACGGTGTATCCGTACAACTGCAATTTGTCGTGTTCTTGTACATGCCTTTGTGGACTTTGTGGAAAGCTTCCTACCGCTGGAAAAAGGAGGAATGTTTAAAGTGGCCCTTTTCTTTGTGACTAAATCCCTGATATTGAAACCCCTGCCTGCCATACAGTCATCATTGGGTTCCAATTTGTCAATCACACCTGATTTTCATAGTAATTTTCCTGTCAGAAGCACCTCCTGACCACAGTTGTGAGACAAAGGTAAACGCACCAGTAGGAGAAATTCCTACTAAAATTTAAAATTGTTTGAGCTTTTGTAATTCCTCCATGTAACTTTCTGCGCAGATGGGTCGGTGGTTTTTGAATTTTTATTTCAGTACAGTCAATAATGACTGTTGTTCGACTGGAGGAAACTTAGCTAAAATCTTTGGTAAATGTCTCTTTACCTGCTACCTTTTAGGCCACACTATCAAAATGTCTTTAAACGTATGGTAAAGCATGTTTATCCAGGTTGTGAAGATTTTGGACACAGATCCCTTGGAAAGTGAATAAACATCAGCCAGGTGACCAACCAACAAACCAAGTCAGAGTCTCACAGGGACTAAAAGAAACTCTGCAAAAAAAAATTAAATGGCACTTTGGGCCTGGCTTGTTTCGGTCTTTTTCTTCCTATTAATTATTAATTAATTAATTATTATTAATTAGAAATAGCTTACGATTAAATTGAAATCAAAGCATTTCTATTGTTAAGGAAAGCTGATTAAAGACTTTTTACCAAAATTTAGTAGCACAGTTAACTTCTTTACGAGTTGCTCGTATAAAAGGTTATTTCGAGTTGGAAGCCTTTTCCCTTGGAAATGTTGACATCTTTTCCAAACTGCACAATTTTAATCCTTAAATATGAAAGAGTGAGGCATTTAAATATTTACCCAATTGAGAAGACTGGGAGGGGAACTAAAAAACCAGTACATGAAAAAAATGTAAATTATAACAGTGAATAGTCTTAATAAACTTGAATTAGTTTGAGTTTCCATATGAAAGCAATATTTACCAACCTGATAAGCGTCCTTCTCGGTTTTTTTTCTTGCCATTCCAATATTTCATTTTTTAAGCAATTGGTTGTAAAAAACACGATAAATAAGCAAGCCAGTGATGGAATGCCAGTGTAAAACCTGACCGTCTGATTGTTTTAACAAACATGCTCAACAAAGCTGAATTTTGTTTTCCAAATTTCCTTACAATCAGCCATTACTTCAATGTCGGAGGCTGTTAAATCAGTTTGGACCTCGGCATCAACGTACAGGGGCTCTTAATAAGGAGTATGGCCTCCTTTAAAGGCAGAATATTCCTCTTTCGAGCCATAATCCATTCATTCCGGCTTGATGTCTTAATCTTCGACGTCTGCGATGTTTCCTTTCGCTGCTTTCGACCTCTCCACGGGGTCAATACGACTTTTTGGAGGTTTTCACTGAAGATGTTCTGGGAATACAAAAACTGAGGGAACATGATTCAATTTAGTCGGGCTAAGACCTCCTTCGAAATGAACTGAACATATTCTGGTGTGCTTCGTAAAATTTTAACTGTCCAGACGACAAGCATAATACCTATTGACATTTCCGCAGCATAATACCTATTTGCGTTGTCTTAAGGGATTGGAAATAAATTTAACATTTGCAAGTTCCGGGTCATCTTTGGGCGCTATTTGTGCAGTTAAAAGCACAACAGTGATGCTTAACCGTTTTCAAAGCTATATTCGCTGCATTAGCCTCACTTTGGTTAGTTTTTACACAACTCGCTTCAATACGGCCGGGAATACGAAACTGGGCTATTGTCAAAACTGCGCTTGTTGCGAAAACTATTTAAAAGATCATTAACACAATATCGTCCATTAGACGCGAAAATATGCTTGCGAATTTGTCCTTGGACATTTCCTGTTCCTCAAAGCAGTTCTCAGAAAACGTTAACTCATCCCTTCTCGCAACCGATGATGTCCGCGTACAAATATCTGAGTATATTTTCTTACCAAATGAAGGCTATTATTCAATTCAGTTATCGTGAAAGAAGCTAGCCTACATTGCCTTAAGACAGAGCACGCCAAAGTCCAACTATTCCCCGATTGTTTACTTTGATAGTTGAGTAGATTAGTGAGCGGTTAAGAAGAGTATTTACAGTGTTTTAGTTTGAAATAGTACGTACATGGCTGAACATCTTTTTTGAGGAAAGCAAAGTTCCATTGCATTGATTTCGTGTTAAGCATGATCAGCTGTAAACTATGCATATATATCACGACTAGAAAGTACAAAGGGACGAGATCGGGATTGAAAAAATTTCCAGTCGAAATACATGCAAGTTTACAGTATAGCACGCTCCTCAAGTTTCGA